GAAATAATAATATATTTATATTTTAAAATAATTAATAATATTTGTTATAAAATTAATAATAATAATTTATATAAAATATTTAAATTTTTAATAATTAATTTTTTTTTTGAGTTGTATTTATAATAAAATAATATTATTAATTAAATAAAAAAATAAACAATTCAATAAAACAAAAGTGTTCAGATTTTTGTTGATTCTGTTCATAGAAAAAATTGAAAAAATCGACAAAACAAAAGTGTCCAGAAATTTGTTAATTCTACTCATAAAAATTCGCTTAAAAATTCTCTCAAAAATACCTTTTAAAAAAACCTTTATTTCTAAACATCGCTATTATTTTATTGGTTAATTTTGTGTTTGTAAGCTGACCAAAGGTCAACTGGTTTGAGATTGAACAACGAAAGCTGTTCTATCGAATGAGACTATGACTTTGTCATAGTCGCTGAAGCACGTAGTGACATTCGATCGACAGATCAATGTCAATGATCGACATTGAAAACATTGGTCAAATGTTACCATGTGCTTCAACATTCTTAAGTTAGAAAGATCTTCCATTTTCTCAAAACTAGTTCTTTAAGTCAAAAAAAAGAGCAATTTTTTGTGATATTTAAGGAATGAAGCAAACCAAAAAAAAAATAAAAGCAAAAATACTAAAAACAGGATAAGATAAATAGAAGGTAAATTAATTAGTATCGAAAAAAATGCAAAAAGTCATGTGAAAGTCATGTGTAATTGAAATTTTTAATTTTTTTTTAATTAATAAAAATTTTAACATTTCACAAATAAGTCTGAATTTTTAACAGAGGTGTATTTCGATGAGGTTTTTTAAATATTACAGTGATTTTAGAAAAATAAACACACAAAAAAATTCTAAAAGAAAAATGAAAAATGTTTTCTGATAAATTAAAAATAAATTTAATATTAATAATACTAAAAAATTATAAATAAGATAAAAAAATATTGTTGTTTAAAATCAGACAAGATGTCTAATTCAATATCTTTAAATAAGATACCTACATTTATTGAATCTTTGAAAATTGTTATTAAATATTCTTGGTTGAATTTATTGTTGTTATGTCTTCCTTTTAGTGTATTAGCAAATTTTTTATTTCATTGACCAGACATAGTTATTTTTTCATTTAATTTTTTTACAATAATTTCATTATTGAAATTATTGAATTTTTCTATTGATGAGATTTGCAAAAAGACAAATAATATTATTGGAGGGTTATTAGCAGCTGCCTTTGGAAATATAGTTGAATTGATTATTTCGATTTTTGCTTTAATCCATAATGAAATTGAGATTGTTCAAACATCTTTATTAGGATCAATTATTTCTAATCTTTTATTGGTATTAGGAATGTGTATTCTTGTTGGTGGATATTATTATGAAGAACAAAAATTTAAAAAGATCACTGCACAAACTATTTCAAGTTTGATGACATTATCATGTATAAGTTTAATTATTCCAGCAGCATTCAATACGCTTATTGAAAATAATGGAAATAATTCATTAGAAATAAGAAAAGAAGTATTAAATTTCTCATATGGGACTTCAATATTATTATTTATTATATATTTATTATATTTATAGTTTCAATTAAAAACACATCCTCATTTATTTAATGATGAAAATAATATAGAATTAGAAAATCAATTAGGGGATGAAGAAATTTTAATTCTTTTTTATTTTTCTTTATTGTTATTAATTTTAGTAACTGTTTTAATTGCTATATCTTCTGAATGTTTGATTAATTCAATTGAAGGATTTACAAAAAATCTTAATATTAGTAAATCTTTTGTTGGTATTGTTATTTTACCAATTGTTGGAAATGTTGCAGAGGTATTAAATTTTTTTTTATTTTTAGTTTTATATAATGGATTATTAATTTATTAAATTATTTTTATTAGCATTTTACAGCAGTAGATGCTGCAAGTAAAAATAAAATAGATTTAGCAATTTCTATTTCTGTTGGATCTTCAATGGTAAATAAATTATATAATTTAGAATTTTATTTTTTTTTTAATTATTTTATTAATTATTTTTTTTTATAGCAAATTGCTTTGTTTGTAGTTCCATTTTTAGTAATAGTTGGTTGGATTATTAATCAACCAATGAATTTTTCTTTTGG